TATTCTGTTGGTAGAACAGCCGTTTTGAAGTTCGTAAGTCCCTTAGATCATAGGTTTGAATCCCACTCTCGCTAGTTTGTTGGTGATGAGGGCAGTCCTCAAATAGTTAGACAAATGAAAGTGACAGAGCAGTTGTTCTGAAAGTCGTAAGTCCCTTAAGTGACAGGTTTAAATCTCACTCTGGCTAGTTTGCCGGTAATGAGAGCGGTCCTCGAATATTTAGACAAATGAGAGTGGCAGAGCAGCCGTTTTGAAAGTCGTAAGTTCTTAAGGTCACAGGTTTGAATTCCACCCTGGCTAATTTTTCGGTAATGAGGGTGTTCCTCAAATAGTTAGACAAATGAGACTGGTTGGGAGCTTGTATATTAGCCTTCGGTCATTCTTTTAATATATATATATATAGCAATTAAATACAGACCACCTGAAACTTCGATCCAATTTACAAATCAATTGCACTCTTTCATTTTCATTCATTTTAAAATTCTCTCTCAAATATCAAAATTTATGATAAAATCACAACTCATTTTCCTTTATTTTTATCAAATTCTCAATAGTTTCATCGTGGTTGGCACGTGTAATTGCTTAAATACATTAGTTCGGTAGTTCAAAAAAATAACATGTTTGTAAATATCAATATTTCATATGCTCTATATTTAATTATTCATTTTTCTTAATATTGAGTTACATTGTTTTTTTCAATTACTTTATATTTAATTCAAAAGTAGAATTGAAGCAACTTTGTCAGTTGTTCCCCAACACAATTCTCAGAGTCAAATATGCTTGAATATGATGGTACAAAAATAGGTCTTGAGAACAATTAGTAAATCATTTGTCCTATTAAAATATAAAGAATCAATTGAGTGCCAAGCTTGCATGGATGGCCTACATCACATGCAATGGCTTAACCTATTGCAACAAAGGCCCATCCTTCATCTACCTCCAATAATTGACAATAGTGATGATCAAGCGGTCAAGCCACCCAAGTGAAGACACTTTAAAAGCAATTGTTAATCATGTTCGGTCTAACATTATTTGTGAGTGACATCAAAGTTTATGTTAACATGAATGAAAACAAGAGGGTGAAAATTTAAGCAGAGAAGTTTTATAATTTCATTATACTGTGAGAAAGTATAAGACTTATATAAATGATTGGATCTGCCACCCTTGTTTATATGCTTGAGTAAAGATATAACGTAAGATGAAGGACAATTATATGTGTAAAATTATATAGAAATCCTTGATAAGTACTTTTCAGGAAAACATATGGGTAATTTCTATTGAGTCTAAGCGAAGGATGATCTCCGGCGAAGTCATTTGTCGACTTCATTAAACCTTAAACAAATAACTATTAGTGCTCCTGACATCACAAGCAGAAAGATAAAAACATTGAGGATTTTTAGCATATGACATTGCTAGAAACACTTTAAGATATTATGTCAAGAAACTTCTTAGTTGTCAAGATGAATTGATTTATATAGATCGCCGATGGCCTACATTCGTTAAGCCAAATCTATTTCATCAGGGAGATCAGTTATATGTACGTTTGAGTGCACAACTCAGTCAAAATTCTCGTCGAACTTGAGATATATCTAAGGTGCTTATGCTGAGTGACTCATTTCTAAGTCAGATCGATATGTTCTCTGTTGCATTATGCATTGGTTGGAAAGAAAGTAAATATTTCAATGGGCTTGGTTCAAGCACTCGCAAATGGTTTTGTTTAATTATGTAGATGAAAATGATTATGATGATGAGCTGACAGCAAATCCATGCTGCCTTGCAATGATATGGTTCTACCAACCATAAAATATTAACTCATTTTTAGGAAACATTGGTGGAATTAAGTAATTATGTATAATATAATGTGCAAATTTTACATTCTTTTATAAGTATATATTATTAAATAATGATTAAGGATATGATCGCATGATTGAACCGTTCTTCTTCTTATGTAGGAAATCAATACAAACAACAAATTTATTCTGATAAGTTATAAACTACAATACATACCACTTTTTCCTATGTATTTACATATCTAGCACCCAAACCGTTGAGAAATTTAAGGCGAAGAAAAACAAAAACCGACATTAAAATCAAAAGAACACAAATTTAACGAGGTTCGGCAAAGAAGCATACGTCCTCGGGAGCAGAGCGGCGAATTCACTATTTCAGAAGAGTTCATTACATACTCATAGGGTTATACATTATATATATATATATATATATATATAATATACAACCCACAGATAAAATTACTAACACACCCTCGCTCCCCCCAACCCACTAAATTCCAACAGACACATCTTCAATTCCAAGACACATCTCTTTACGTCAAGAGACACATCTCTTCACTCCAAGAGACTCCAAATTCTGATACATGAGCCATACCTAACACAAACTTATAATTTTTCAAAATTAAAATAGCGATAATTTGATGTTATAAATATAAAGATTTTTATTTATTAATTATTTTTTGAAGATATTTTAGGAGTGTAAAATAAAATCAATATTCATATTCTAACGAAAACATCTAAAGGGAATCAAACAAATCCCAACAATCTAAGAATTATATTATGTTCATTTGAAGTTCAAGCAACCGCATGGGGCCTTTGAAGAGACCACTGAAATTTTTTTTGAAGGGCTGTGGGTGCTTAATACC